CTTTCCTGGCAATAAATCTAGCACCATACAAAAATATGTCTAGTGTTAAATTTTGATATCGTTACATTTGGAAAGAATCACCTTCAACACGAACCATACATTATTGTCAGTGCGCGGGGCATTTTAAAAGTTGTTCGATGATGGTTTCTTGGTGTGTGTACTATAAGACTAATAATCGAACAACACAGAGACACAAAGTAAATCAAACACCTGAACACTGTATAATTTAGATTTAATATTTTTGAATGGCATTTGGAAGCTGCAGTATCAATGATAAAGACATGGTTGAAATGCGGGCTTCAAGTTCTGTCAGCGCAGCGTTTCGGTACAGACGCTTGTCTTAAAGTCTTCATTAATTATGAATTAGAGTATGTTTGAAAGTACTCAAGTGTACTTTAAGATTTTCAGTGGTGCGTTTTAGAATGGAGTTGCATTTCATCAACGTGTCCAACACCTGTTTTTTTCAGTTTGTTACAATGCAAATACCATCAAACATAGATGTGTGAGTGAGTGAGTGAGTGAGTATGGTTTTAAAACCATTTCAGCAATATTCCAGCAACATAACGGCGGGGGACACCAGAAATGGGCTTCACACATTGTACCCATGTCGGGAATCGAACCCGGGTCTTCGGCGTGATGAGCGAACGCTTTAACCACTAGGCTACCCGACCGCCCCTCGTAGATGTGAACCAGAATCACAAGTTCACTGTACCCGTACTTTTTCGGCTGTCATCTACGACCCGCGTCATGTTGAAAACCCCCGGGCTCTCATACCGAAACAAAAACTCAAGAAATGTTCAACGTTGCGTTAAATCCAAATTATCAGGCACGTGATGTCTCATCTTTCCTCACAGGGGGAGAAGGGAACATTGGTGAAGTCGTCAAAGTGGGCACGTTGACGGGAGGTTACACTCGAGGCGCTGTCAGTGTGAGATGGTTCGCAGACCAGAGCAGTCTGAAGGGATACCGTGCTGGCGCTATTGGCAAGGTCGAGGTCATCACGGTGAAGGGGTCACAAGGCTGGAGGTACTACAAGGACCAACGGCCTGCCTGTCCTCGGTGAGTTGTTGTGGCAGACACCGCGCTGTCGAAATCTTGATAATTGAAATTCAAGCACATTGCTGTGATGGTTAGCAAGCCGATAGGCGCTAACTTTATATTTGTACGTGGATGCACGTCGATATATAGTCGGTTAAACAGAGAGAGGCAATACTTCGGCCATGCTCTTTATTTTCTGATCCAAGGGAGGTAAGCCCTTCACACATAATCACAATGTTAAAGTGCCATGTAAAACACAACCATTGCGTCATATTGTGATATCACATTCTGTGTTAAGACCGCCTCCGTGGTCTAGTGGTAGGGCGTCCGCCCGGAGAGCGGAAGGTCCGGTGTTCGATTCCCGGCCGCGTCATACCAAAAGACGTTAAAAGATGGTACTTGTTGTTACCCGGCCTGGCGCTCGGCATTAAGGGGCTAAAACAATGATTGGTCGGCTCGGAGTCAGTATACTGCGTCTGGGTGGGGTATTCATGTTAAATTGCGGCATGGTATCTCAGTGAGATAGCACTATAAATCGGCATCAGTCCGGACTAGTACAAGCAGACACACACACACACATACACGTACATGCACGTCGCTATATAAGTGCAATAATCTTGGATGCGACGTTAAACCCCATTTCACCTCACCTAACCTAGAAAAAGAAACTATTCAGTCTTATTAGGATCAGAATGAACATGTTTTTGACGATCCTTCTGTCAAAGATTTATTGATGAACTAGGGTCATGAGTAACGTCTGTGACCATGCCGTGAAGACCGTGAACCTGATTCACAAGGCTGGTCGTAAATCCAGCGTCACACTGACTTTCACAGTGGTACATTTGCACACTCCATTACAGATGGTCTGCGTTATTCTGTAACAGGTGCAATTGCCTTGTGACACTATCTGGGCCCACTTACACAAAGCGATCTTAGCGTTAAGATGATCTTAACTCCTATACTCTAACATAGGCTTACAATAGTGACCCGTGAAGATATTCCAGCTATATGACGGCCGTCTGTAAATAATCGATTCTGGACCAGACAATCCAGTGATTTACGTCATGAGCATCGATCCACGCAATTGAGATCAATGACATGCATCAACCAAGTCAGCGAGCCTGAACACCCGATCCCGTTAGTCGCCTTTAACGACAAGCACAGTCGCCTTTTACGACAATCGGTCATTGGCTCTTTAGTACTTTAGCGAAAAGGCAAACCGTTAACATATTACCTTTTATTACTGCATAATTATGCATTGAATTTTCCTTTTCTGTATGACAACTCCATCTCATGCATTGTGATGCAAAATATCAATTTGCTTTTACATATTCAAAAATATGTTGTTGTTTTCATTTTATTCCATTAATATATATTGAACATCATGATATGGTTTTTCTCAGACATAGCAGAGGGTGTGGCCCAGGTCCTTATCGATCTCCTGAAACTAGGCGAGAGTGCTATGTTTAAGCCAACGACGTCTGTCAAAGCCAGGGACCTCGTCATCGCCGTCAGCAACGGGGACACAGAAGCAGTACCAGGCATTATCAAGTCTATTGGTGAGAAGGCATGTTTACAATCTTAATTAGGAGATACCATTATGCGTTTTTTTATTTATTTAGTATCTAAAGGCCGGAAATCTGTAAGCTGTGATACATACATTGTAGATGACGTCATAAGGTAATACTCTGATGTCATGAGACAATATATGACGTCATATGTTACTATGGCTGAATAAGTCTTGTTGCACGACGATAAATACACTGTGTAGTATTCTAGTCGCCATGCTTAGTACCATGTTTACTAGGTATTTATCCTATTATTATCGTTGATGTTCTTGTTGTTATCATATTTATTTAGAGATTGAAATAAGAAAAATGCAGCAAGGGTTTGGGTGATCGTGGCACAGTCAGGCTGGTCATTCTCATCATCAGCTCAGGGCCCTTGCTCCCTCTACACGCAGCCCAGACAGCGAATGGGGCTTCACCCAGGAAGCTATCCCTAGTCAAACCCACCCAGATCTTTTCGGAGAATGTGAAGACTCCCAACACTACAGCCTTCTGCATTTCCCAGATTGTCAGATGGGCTGTATTTCTGGTAGCAAACCCGGGTACTCTCCCAATGTCAGTCAACAGATTGGGAGGTACCAAACCTGAGACACCGAGAACAATGGGGGTCGGACAACTTGGTACTTGGGATGCAAGCGTGACATTTCGAAAGCGTGGTCAGCACATTTGCCATGTTCTTCCTGAATCTTGTCATTCACATTAGTGTCAAAAGGGGCAGAAAGTCAATGATATAATTGATTTCATGGGATGTTTGAAAAAAGACAAGATCGGGTTTGTTGGCCTGGATAGGTCAGAGGCTGTATTCGGGCCTATTCCAAAGAATTTTGTGATTATCATTTCATATTGTGGGTCGTACCATGGATGGACCTCTGTGTCAAAAACCACAAGCATAGCGAGAAGACAGTAATAAAATGATCGAGTCGCTCCATAATGTCACTTATGGTTGTCATTATTATTAGTGTTGCTATCATTACCGAAAATAATTTATGTATCTGTAAAACATTTTTCAGTTGACCATTTTACTCGACAGTGGTTCTTTGTCAGACAAGGTATCAAATGTTTCTTCAAAACATGTTGTATATATTGTGTGAAGTTTTGATGCAATGTTTAGTAAAGGTCTTGTGCCTAGTTTTACGCTCACTGTGTTCACATATTTTAATGTAGTAAGGTCTGCTTTCACCTCCTTCAGGTAAACGAATCAGTTGATGGCCTCACGGCACTGCAGACAGCGTGTTACAAAGGTCATGCTGACATTGCCAAGCTTCTGATCAGCGCTAAGGCTGATCTAAACAAGGCAGATAACGACGGCGACACACCTCTACGCTATGCAGTATCAGGGTCAGTATACACCTTTAAAACAAGGCAAAGCTGTTATAATTCAGATAGAAGCATAAGAAACAATTTTCAATGATTTCTTTTATGCAAAGACCGTAACATATGTCCATAACAGCAGAGGTGACGCAGTAGGACATATCTTGACATACTAAGTATGTACGAAGTACGGAACATAACACAAGTCACGTCTACTAAATTCTTAAAGACCAGGGTGCCGTTGTACAAAACAACCTTAGCGCTAAGGTTACCTTATATCCTTAAGTTTTAACCTTAGGCCTTTACTGAGGTTGACCCCCTGTTGCATGAAACTGCCTTACGCTAAGATAGCCTTAGTTAATTTGAAAATTTAAGGTTGGTCAGACCCAACCTTAGCGTGGCTTAGGTTGATACTTCATTGAGTTTTAACATGGCTACCTTCTTGTTGATGTGTAAGGAAACTGAGAGAAGTTTGAGGATGAACAAACGTTGTTGGTCGGCTGATTGCGGATTTCACACAAGAGCGTCACTCTGATCAGTCCATCCTTCCGATACATTAATGTTGCTATAAAATTAAAAAGCTTACCCTTTTCGCGAACACCTGGTGTCATCACTGTTTTGAGTTATCAATTCATATAAATTTCCCTGCTATTTTGTATTTTTACATGTACAACTTATGGAATTCGGCATATAATCGAGACTGAATATTTTCTGCCGTTCTCGTTTCATAATTGAGTGATGGTGATAAACAAACAGTTAAAAACATGATGTATGAATATTTTGGTTGTTGTTTAACGCCGCTATCGTCAGTATTCCAACTAAATATTACCGCGGCTATTGTAAATCATCAAGTCTGGGTCAGACAAACCAGTGGTTGATACAATGAGCAGCACCTCACGCCGTCGAGTTACGATGTCAAGCAACCTACCAAGTCAACAAGTCTGACCTCAGATTCATTGGATGCTGGGGACACATTCTAACCTGGAACAGGAACAAGACCTAACAAGAGTAATACCAGAACGTGGAAATGTTGAAAGTCTCTTCATATGCTTGACCTCATGTTTTGCCATGTTTACAGAGAGCAGCCCACGCTAGTAGGGATACTGCTGGACGCCAAGGCACGAGGCAACACGAAGAACAACAAGGGCCTGACACCAATACATCTGGCAGTGGCCAAGAAGAACCCCAGTGTCGAGTGTTTGAAGAGACTCATACGGTCCAAGTGTGACCCGAACACACAGGTGAGCGTAGTGTCCTATCTTGAACCCACAATCCTTTACCCTAACCTTTCACAAATAAACATCCACTTCATTGAGTAATTAATATGGTACTTGTTTAACGTTTCATCAGACGGATCATATTGTCCGCATTGTCCTTATTTTTCGTTGAGATTCCAACCCTTTTCACTTTGTTTAAACCGGCAAGGATGAGGACGGAGATACGCCCCTTCACGATGCCATCAGAACCCAGAACCAGCATCTTCTTGACCCCTTCCTGGCGTGTGACCTGCTGAACCTCAGACTGGCCAACTCTGATGGTTGCAACCCTGTCCATGAAGCATGTACGTCCCTCGCTTGGGCATCAGAGTACGTTTACCGCCTGAAGCTGTCTCTACCAATGTAACCCTCAACACAAAGAACGTCCCCTCGCTGGGGCATCAGAGTAAGTTTACCGCCTGAAGCTGTCTCTACCAATGCAACCCTTAACACAAAGAACGTCCCCTCGCTGGGACATCAGAGTAAGTTTACCGCCTGAAGCTGTCTCTACCAATGCAACCCTTAACACAAAGAAAGTTCCCTCGCTGGGGCATCAGAGTAAGTTTACCGCCTGAAGCTGTCTCTACCAATGCAACCCTTAACACAAAGAACGTCCCCTCGCTGGGGCATCATAGTAAGTTTACCGCCTGAAGCTGTCTGTACCAATGCAACCCTTCACACAAAAAACATCCCCTCGCTGGGGCTTCAGAGTAAGTTTTCCGCCTGAAGCTGTCTCTACCAATGCAACCCTTAATACAAAGAACGTCCCCTCGCTGGGGCATCATAGTAAGTTTACCGCCTGAAGCTGTCTCTACCAATGCAACCCTTAATACAAAGAACGTACCCTCGCTGGGGCTTCAGAGTAAGTTTACCGCCTGAAGCTGTCTCTACCAATGCAATCCTTAACACAAAGAACGTCCCCTCGCTGGGGCTTCAGAGTAAGTTTACCGCCTGAAGCTGTCTCTACCAATGCAACCCTTAACACAAAGAACGTCCCCTCGCTGGGGCATCAGAGTAAGTTTACCGCCTGAAGCTTTCTCTACTAATGCAACCCTCTACACAAAGAACATCCCCTCGCTGGGGCTTCAGAGATAGTGTACCGCCTGAAGCTGTCTCTACCAATACAACTCTTAACACAAAATACGTCCCCTCGCTTGGACAACAGAGTAAGTTTACCGCCTGAAGCTGTCTCTAACAATGCATCCCTTAACACAAAGAACATCCCTTCGCTGGGGCGTCAGAGTAAGTTTGCCGCCTGAAGCTGTCTCTACCAATGCAACCCTTACCACAAAGACCGTCTCCTCGCTGGGACATCAGAGTGAATTCCCCAACTGAAGCAGTCTACTGACATGTCATCGATCCCATTAGTATGGAATACTGTAAGGGACATTCTCGCGATCTCGCATTCTCGCGATCTCGACCTTTGGAAACGAAGTAAATATGCCCAAAACACGAGAATGCGAGATCGCGAGAACGCGAGATTTGGCCAAAATCTCGCGTTCTCGCGATCTCGCATTCTCGTGTTTTTGGTACATAGCACTTTTTGTCAAAAGTCGACAACGCGAGAATGCGACATTTGGACATGATGCAAAATCTCGTAATCTCGCAATCTCGACTTGTCAAATTAGGCCACAAAAACATGAAATCGCGAGAACGCGAGAATGCGACATTTCATTTTTCGCGATCTCGCTTTCTCGTGTTCTCGCGTTTTAGACGCTGTCCGTGCGCATGCGTAATATCACAAGGTCAAGGCCCATGCGCACGTTAGAAGTCCTTTGGTCATGCTTCTTTCGTGCTCTTCATTCTCCAAGTAGCATTTAGCAAACTTATGACTTGAGCTTGAAAATGCTATGTAATTTACATACACAAAGTCTGAGTCATCTCCCGTTGTTACAGTTTCCTAGGTTCTTTATGATAAAACCCTCAACAAGCTCAATATAATTTAACAAAAGAAATTGTGTACATGAATGTCCAATGATAGTGAAAACATTAATGTGTCCGAAAGCTGGAAACAAAACTATTACCGTCAGTGAGTGAGTAATATTGCTTAAAGCTGCACCAGCAGTACTACAGTTACAGAAATAATCACAGGCCAGTGAGTTTCTCCATGAGGCAATGTTATACACGGCTAGCATATTCATGAAAGGCAAAATTCTCATAGACCAATTTGAAATACAAAATTAATTATCATATTTTCATCCGCTCCAACCTGACTACAAAACATCCCGCTTTACATTATTTTATAGTTAAAATGGATAAAATTATCATTAAACCGCCCGCATGTTATCATAAATGAGCGGGCCACTGTTAAAGAAATAAACGACGAGTGGGAGTACAATAAAACACTGCAGGGAGAATAAACCATGAGGGGCTAGTGTTTTATTGTACAATAAACAACAACCACGAGTCGTTTAATGATTATATGAGATATCAACATTATGTACAGCCTCTTTAAGGATGTTGATAAAATGTACAAGGTTTAAAAATATTTACCCCTATTTAAGGCGGGTATTTCCCGCATATGCTCACACAATCCTCAGGTCGATTACACGTACCTTTTCTCCCAAAACCGATTGTCATATTGTAACCGGGGATTGTGAAGGAAAATACAATTTCAAACATAGGCTACGGGTGTGAGTGTTTGTTGACAGAGTAGATAATGACATCCTTTAATGTACAAAACAATAACATTATAAAAACAATACTGCATAGGTTTCATACACATACATATTCACACAATCATTCAGTTCATATAAACATACGTCTACATTCTGTACATGAACATGAACTTAATAATCAATGATATACAAAATCATTATCTTAACCTTATAATAAACAAACAATTCATCAAGGGCGATAACTCGATCCCGACATCACTCATAAGATACAATATAAACCTGGTCCATGTTGTAAAATACACTCAACATTATAATTACAATTACCACTTTCTTGAAACTGCTGTATTTATTCAGTACCTCACCATATATTTGGCACGATTCACTATTTACAATTCATATTTCGAGACACGACAAACATGTAAATTACCCGTACCCTGTGGGTGACACTGGGATGTTTATCGTCTTCATGCAGCCGCCATTACGATAGAAGTGCCACAACATCCATGGAGAGCAACCTGACGGTCACTTCCCTCTCACAATTAACGTCGTCACTCACTGCATTATAATGTTACAAGATCACAATCGAATCATCAGAAATGAGGTCATGATCAATCGTATAATACATCCCGCTTCGTTCTTCGATGTTCTTAGCGATTAAACGCGTAGTCATCTATAGAGTAAGTGCGAGAGTTGGGTTTAACACTGCTTTTATCAGTATTCCAGTTATATCACAGCGTGTCAGCGTAATATGAGAGGAAAGCCCGAAGTGATGCAGGTCTCAGACGTTTACCTCTTCGATGAAGCCCACGAGAACGGGTATGGTGAAACAAGAAACATAATCAGGGCGAACCGGGATTCGAACCCACAATCATAGGTTTCGGGCGTGCCCAACTGACGCAACTCTGCACAGAGAATCGCGGCGCCTTAGACGACTGGGCCACCCAAATGAGTGTTTATATATTTGATGTCAGACCGCCGTCATATAGCTGGAATATTGCTGAGTGCGGCGTTAACAACAAACAAACAAAATCTTTCTGAAAAATACCATTAGGCATCCATGTTGGTTATTTGACTGTTAGTTGTCAGACAATATTTGTCAAATTCAGTCAGTTCACAGGCAAGAAAGGGAGCGTGTTCTTGACTTTATTATGTTACCAGTCTACATATATATATTTCTGTATAATCAAAAGACTTGGAAAATGTGCAATCTGACATTGTCAAAAGTCACGTGATTTTGAGCAGCCATTTTGAAATAAACTGCATTAATTTGCAAAGCAGTAATTTCTATGAACCTTGTGGTTTCTTTCGTCGTTTTGATGTCAAAAGACACGTGCGTGAGATTTTATTCATCATCCAACATCATTCTTCCAACTTTTTGAGTTTGTAGACAGTAATAAGCAGTGTCTTAAAGATGTTGGATACAATGGTTCGTGCGCACCTCAGTTCACGCCGTTGCACGCGAGTTAACCGTGACGAATTACCTTACAAAATAGTTACATACAACTGTATAGGCAATTAGCACAAAAACACGAGAACGCGAGATCGCGAGAATTGACCAATCTCGCAATCTCGCGTTCTCGCGTTCTCGTGTTTTTGAAAATAGTTACATACAACTGTATAGGCTATTAGCACAAAAACACGAGAACGCGAGATCGCGAGATCGCGACACTTGACCATCTCGCGTTCTCGCGTTCTCGTGTTTTTGAAAATAGTTACATATAACTCTATAGGCAATTAGCACAAAAACACGAGAACGCGAGATCGCGAGATCGCGACACTTGACCAATGTCGCAATCTCGCGTTCTCGTGTTTTTGAAAATAGTTACATACAACTGTATAGGCTATAAGCACAAAAACACGAGAACGCGAGATCGCGACACTTGTCCAATGTCGCAATCTCGCGTTCTCGCGTTCTCGTGTTTTTGAAAATAGTTACATATAACTGTATAGGCAATTAGCACAAAAACGCGAGAACGCGAGAACGCGAGAACGCGAGATTGCGACATTGGCCAAGTGTCGCGATCTCGCGTTCTCGCGTTCTCGTGTTTTTGTAAATAGTTACATATAACTGAATAGGCAATTAGCACAAAAACACGAGAACGCGAGATCGCGAGAATTGACCAATCTCGCAATCTCGCGTTCTCGCGTTCTCGTGTTTTTGAAAATAGTTACATACAACTGTATAGGCTATTAGCACAAAAACACGAGAACGCGAGATCGCGAGATCGCGACACTTGACCATCTCGCGTTCTCGCGTTCTCGTGTTTTTGAAAATAGTTACATATAACTCTATAGGCAATTAGCACAAAAACACGAGAACGCGAGATCGCGAGATCGCGACACTTGACCAATGTCGCAATCTCGCGTTCTCGTGTTTTTGAAAATAGTTACATACAACTGTATAGGCTATAAGCACAAAAACACGAGAACGTGAGATCGCGACACTTGTCCAATGTCGCAATCTCGCGTTCTCGCGTTCTCGTGTTTTTGAAAATAGTTACATATAACTGTATAGGCAATTAGCACAAAAACGCGAGAACGCGAGAACGCGAGATTGCGACATTGGCCAAGTGTCGCGATCTCGCGTTCTCGCGTTCTCGTGTTTTTGTAAATAGTTACATATAACTGAATAGGCAATTAGCACAAAAACACGAGAACGCGAGAACGCGAGATCGCGACACTTGTCCAATGTCGCAATCTCGCGTTCTCGCGTTCTCGTGTTTTTGAAAATAGTTACATATAACTGTATAGGCAATTAGCACAAAAACGCGAGAACGCGAGAACGCGA